CCTTTGGGTCCAATACACAGAACTCTGGCCAGAGAACCAGACAACTCAAACCATCCCACCACACTTTCACTTGATGAAACACAGAGGAAGCGGCCACTCAAAGCACTTTAATGACCCTTTTCCCTGCTCTGTCTTGCTGGTCATTGAGTTGGAACAGCTTTGGCTTATTTCCCACGGTGATAGGGATGTCACAGTGGCCTGATCACAGTGAAAATAGCCTTATAAAAACCCACTGCAACGCAGGGTATGATTTCAGCACTCTTTATGCACGTCCAATGATGGTCACTGACAGCATTGTAAAGTCAAATGGGTGATGTGCTGTCAAACTAATGGATACGTAGTATGAAAAGTGACATATAAAAATGGAACATGGCAGATGTCTTAAATTGGAACTGTCATCTTCCATATATGAGTCTGCAATCCATTAAGGCCCCAGTCAGGAAATGCTGCAAGTGGCAACCCAAGTTTTCAGTAGATCAGCACTACAGGAGGGCTCGACTGATGTATAGGTTGCCCATATAGAGGTCCCATGGATTAATTGTTATTGGTGAAAGTATTTAGTAGCTTGTTTTGTGTTTTAGTGAGGAAAACCACTCACATAATAAGACTCCTACGCTGATGGCTACCTATGCACTTCTACTGCAGAAAAACAGGCTGAACTGGTCAATTTGAATTCAAAATTTCATAATACTTCAAATAAAAAATTCATAAAACACATTCAAGCCTAACCTTTAGCATGAAGAGAACATTACAATACACAAAACCTGTCTAAGAAGCCATCTAATGAAAAATAAGAGCTAATTAACAGAAACCAAACCTCTTAGGCTGGCTTCACATGGTGAAACAAGATAATAAAACAGAGGATGGTTTATTAAGTGGTTGAAAAGGTGAGCTATCCGCCCTCCCGACTGACTCTAGGTTGTTAGTTTTGATGCTGTCGGTTTCTCAAAGCTTATCTTGTAAAGTTGCTATTTTGGAGACACTGGTTTTTCTGTGGACAGAGGCAATATAACACAGATCCCTACATAGATAGATATATGGATATAGAAAAAAAATGGCAATAACAGCTGAAAAAATATGCAAAGATGTTAAAAATTCTGCAAACTTGTCAATTACATGGAAGATTTTAGTAAGACTGATATGATGTATCAAAAAATGCGAGCTAATAATTTGGTTAACTAGTGGAGTTGCGTGCAACTGTTTTTCGAAATTATGTTGTAGACAACTCACAGCATGCAACTAGTTGCATGGAAGTTTCATGATGTAAAGCCAGTCTAAGAACTCTGGAAAGCTCCACCCCCTGCGCACCAACAATTTATACATAAAAAAAAAAACATTTGAAAATTGAGAACAGACAATTGAGAACTGGATCCATATCTAATTCATTTTAACCATACAAACAGAATTCTACCACTATTTCAAAATGTCTGCATAATTCAATTGTTATGCTGTAAACAAAGTAATTCAGAGTGGTTTGATGTGAAATGAGTCAAAATTGTTCACAGTGGTGGTGAGAGAAACTAGACGTCTGAAGCATTTCATGCTTCTAAAACTACCTCACGTAAAGTTATTACATGAAATGGTTATAAATACGCTGCCTGATGCCTGAGACATTGTTTAACAAAGTCTGAGTCTTAGTCAGTCTTAACAAAGAGAGGTATATGAGGGTGCTGTATGGTGAAATAGTCCCCAAAGCAAACATATTTTTGGATTGAGCACTATTTTACCATAATCAGCATTACATATAAAAACTCACAAGACCTGTAGGTTCAACTGCCACTTTTATATTGTAAATAAATGGCTGTATATTTCTTTGCAGACATTGTTGTAGACAATTTTTCATATCCAGCTTTACACTTTCAAACCCCCCACACTGCAAAACACTGTGTTACTTCAAACAGCTGGTCCTTATCATCATGTTGACTTTACTTCTCAGACATTTACTAGTTTAGAAGAAAGCTCACAGTCATATCACAGTCTGTCATATTCTTTTCTTATCCTTATCAGTTGATGAGACATTTCCTGATTGTTATACGTAATGATGATGTTAGGTGGAGTCACACCCTGCCCACGCTTTGCTGTAGCCTTCCCATCAGAGGTGAGGTCAGTAGGTTTGATTGAAAGTGAATAAGCATCTTATAATAAAGATCTAGTGGAAAACTTGTCTGTAAAATAGACTAGCACAGTTTTGCTAATATTGTTGTATTCCAATGCATCTCTCTCTCTCTCTCTCTCTCTCTCTCTCTCTCTCTCTCTCTTTCTGTCTCTCTCCACATCTCCCTGAGTATTCAGACAGTACTATAATCAACAGTGACAACCACAGTTGGGTACAGCCTAGAACTTAGCAGACATGGTGCATTATATAGGCGACTAAACACACGGCCAGAGACAGAACAGCAGACATACATGACTGTCCATTAAAGGATTCAAAGCACTATTTGACTTTAAGGTTTATAGTACTGCGCAAGAAGAGGTTAGACAATGCAGTTGCTTAAGTAAGAGAAAAGTTAAAGGAAAATAGTTGAAAAAACTCCAAAACTCGAGTTTAAAAAATGAAAAATGATTTAAAGATACACAGTAAATGGAATTCCTAACAACCACCTGCAAGGCCTGGGAGACCACCATCAGATAAACAGCACTTAAACCTTCATCTTTGAGAGAGAGGAGAAAATCCACAAGTGTTTCTGTCCTTCCACTGTGAGAAGACAACTATGGGTCACAGAACGCTATGCAAATTAAATAAAGAAGCTGCTGGTGTTCTCAGAGCAATGGACTGACCACAACATCACCGCATGTGTTTGGGATTACTTGGATTGTGAGAAGCAGAAAATGCAACCAACTTCGAAGACTGAACTTTGGAGGTGTGGAAAATATCCCTGCAGATATCTCTGAAAAACTGAAAGCAAGTGTCTGGAAAAGAATGGAAGCTGTAATAAAGACAAAAGGTGAACCCTAAATACTGAAAATCGTTGCTGTCGGAATAAAACCTTGTATCTCCATTTTTGTCGTTTTTCAGTTTTTGACATAATTTGAAATTACCTGTTGGCCTTTATATTATGTGTAAATTTCATGAGGAATGGACCAAAAGAAACAGCCCAAAACGACTTGGAAAAAGTCTGGTTCCATTGACTTACATTAAAAGTAAAGTAAGTTTTTTCCTTCTCCTGTAACGATACCATTTTGGAGATACAAGGTTTTCTTCCGACAACGGCGAAACGTTATGCTTAGTTGTTGAGGCTTCTGTGTAATTCTCTGTTAAATATGCATCTTTTTCTTCTCTGATGTTGAAAAATTAAGAACTTGTACTTCATTGCCATTTTGACTGGGAATTTAATGCAAGAAAGGTGGTCTCTGACTTTTGCACAGCACTGTACATGTAATTAGGCCTTACTGGGCATATGGAACACAGACATTCAGTTGTAGCTCTCCACTCTGAGAAAAAACACGTATACCACTCAGAAACGGCCTGTGTTTGTGTTTCATAACGGAGAAGATGGAAGATCTATTTGGTAATACACAACAGTAAATGTGACTTGGCACTTCTTCATTGGTATAAATCACCTCTCCAGATGGAGCGGTGTAACTGTGTATTGATTCTAAAAGGCTACAGTGTGAGTCTCTCAATCCAAGTTACATACATTGATCCATGTATCCAAACTAAATTTCATTTGTTTTTGTGTCGCACGTTGTAAAGGAAATATATTGTCTTTTTTGTCTCCACTATTGCAAAGGTGTTCATTTAGGCTTAGTTTGATTACCATCAGATTTTGCACAGTTTATTGTGCATTGAAACTCATTTGCTAGTTGTATTGTATATTAGCTACTGAGATGAATGTTTTGGAATGTTTCCATCAGCCATTTCTGTTATTTAGAGCACTGGTAGTTGTTTTTTGGTAAACGTAGGCTGCTGTTCCACTGAATTTTCAGAAGTGCTACGTAAGTACATTATTATTATGTAAACAAAGTCATTGAAAGTGGGTTGATGTAAAATGCACCATTCTACAGAAATTTTCCAAGTCAGTATGTTTCACAGTGGTGGTGATAGGAACCAGACGTCAGGAGAGTTTAATTCCTCTAAAAGCTCCCTCACAGAAAGTTATTACATGAAAAATGTTTATAAATACATTGCTGGATGCCTGAGACACATGTTCTACAACAGTTTTAGGATAAAGTTTTGGCCTAAAAGATATATCATAGACATATTTCGAGGTTTAAGGCAAAGTAGTCCCCAAAGAAAACCTTTTTGTTTTTCAAATTTATGACTGTTTTACCTTTTATCAACATGACATATAAACTCAGAAGACATATGCAGCTCCACCGGTAATTTTGTTAGTCTGACAGTTAATAAAATGGCCACATTTGTGTTATAGACGTCATGACCCCTGGTTCCTATCACCACCATTGTAAGCAAATCTGAGTCAATGCGTTTCTCTACAATACACCATTTCTTATCAGGTCACTCTGAATGACTTTGTTTACATCACAAAGACTGAATTACGCAGACATTTTGAAAGACTGATAGAATTCCTCTTTAATGAATGTTTACGCCACCATAAACCTAATTCTTGTTGGAGTTTATTAAGGGTTGAAATAGAAATGTAAAGATTTCCTGGATGTATTATATGACAAAATATCCAACCGCTGCTTTACACATCGATGGGCTGCTGAAATGTGTTTTCTCTGAAGTGTTTTCTGACTATAGTCATTGGAAGGCGCTCTCAGGCGTTTAAGGCTCAAGACAGAGTGCTTTTGAAAGCTGGCTGAGTGCAGTTCACCGTTTACTACATGAATCTGGACGAGAGAAAGTTGGTCATACGTCACCGTGAAGCGTAAATCTACCAGCAGCGAACAGTGGAATGGGGGCGGGGTCGCAGCGTCGCTCCAAACACAGGAAATCCGATAAAAGGAAGATAGACAGGGTGAGGAGGAGCGATTGGCTGCGAAGCCACCAATGAAAGCCCGGCTCACGAGTAGTAGGGCAGAGACCGCGCAGCGATTGGCTGGGAGGCCGGCTATAAAAGACCATCCCACGCTCTAATGCGCGAGTTTGGAATTTCAGTGAGTAACGGTCGAGTCGCGAGAGGAGACCGTTGAAGAGGCTTTGGCTTTTGCTTCACAGACTCAGCGCTTCTGCAGAGGAGGACTCTGACTAAGAGAAACTCAATGAAGGAGAGAAGGTCCTGCCAGAAACTCTCACTTCAGCCCGGAATGGATCCGAGTCAGAGTGTGAAATGTAAGATAGTGGTCGTGGGGGACAGCCAGTGCGGGAAGACCGCTTTACTTCACGTTTTCGCGAAGGACTGTTTCCCAGAGGTAAGCACATTTTCCCTCAGTCATTTACGGCAGCCTTACTTTCACACAGTTTATCACACTCGAACTGTCCACATCCAGCTTTGTAAATGTTAGTCTAAGTTATTTCATGTTAAAAATCTGACTAAAATGTCGTATTTTTTGTGTAGAATTACGTCCCCACGGTGTTTGAGAATTACACAGCAAGTTTTGAGATTGACACCCAAAGAATTGAGCTCAGTCTGTGGGATACATCAGGTAAGAGTCATTTCGTTCTCCGTTAATGTCTGTCTCTGTTGAAGAAATACATCAGAAGTAGCTGGAGGAGACTGCTCTCTCTAAATGTAAGGGTTAAACTAATGCCTTATATGGGTGTGTGAGATGTGGACTGTTTAATTGTAGCCCTGTTGACCCTGTCTGGTAGGATATGTGAACGGTGGCAGTAATGGTTAAGTCCCAGTCTGTCGAATTTGCTTGCTAATCATTCATCATTCCACTTCTAATCGTGATATGGGCTTCAGAAATGTAATGTCAGTTACCCAGCCAAACCAGCAGCAAGAACAGTTAATCCTCCTTACTTACACACACCCTTTGTGCCAACACATTTTTCACACTGCACCCCTCCCTGGAAACACTGAGAACACACGCTGACACACACTCATTAGGGAATGAGATGAGAATGTAACTGCACCATCTCTCCTGAGGTACTGTAGAAAAAGCATAAAGGTCTGGACCCAAGAGTGCTACTCCACCTTTGAACGCTGCAAAGTAATGATAATAGCACTATTAAACTTTTCTTTTTTCCATCAGACAGCTGTTTCTCATAAGTAGTGCATCAGATATGCTGGGGTTTATTATATATTTGCAGTCGAATTCAGTTCCCAGCAGGTCGACTCCTATTCCCTCACGGGTCGGTGTGTTTTCGCACTCAAAGAAAGTTCCCTGAGGAACACCTCCAGTCTTGCAGACTGTAGACAGTTGTGTCCCCAGGCTAAACACCGTTAGTGGCTTCTCTGACCATTCACACTGATCCCAGAGCAGCGGGTGGAGGGAAGCAGATAGAGTACTGTATTAATCCCAGAGGGAAATGTTGTTACAGCAGCAGTACAAGGCACATCAAAGTTAGAAAGACAGTGAAAACTATAAGAGAGAATGGTGCAACACAGATAAGTAACCTGGATTAAAGTGAAATAAATCAAAATCCAAATGGAGTAATGCAGTGCTCAGTAAGTTTTTGTTGTCCACAAATATACTTTTACTTGAAATGTCCAGCTAGACAACCTGGCCCATTAAAGACAAATTCCACAGATTTTTTTCCAAATTTCTGCATAATTAAGTGGTTGAGATGTGACCAAAGTCATTCATAGTGGTTTGATGGGAACCAGACGTCTAATGCCTTTAAAAGCTACCTCACAAAGTTATTGCATGAAATATTTAGAATATGTTACCTGATGACTGAGACATTGTTTTGAGAGTTTTGTTTACATTTTAACAATTGAATCATATAGAAAGTTACAAAAATCAGTGGAATTCTCCTTCAAGCCCATATCTTAGTCTAAAGCTGTAGCTGTGTTGTGCTGGTCTGAGCTCTTTCCGACACTGAAGGTGTTATTCTGTTTGTTTTGTCCCAGATATTAAGGTTCTTGAGAGTTCTTTTCTTTTAATCCTAATTGCAATCTTAACGGATTTTGTGCTTGCCAACGTCATGCTTGGTACTTCAGAATGGGTGCGATTAAAATTCCCAGGCTCTTAGTATAACATGAGTTAGTGGAAATGGGGTTAGGGGGTAAGAGTGAATTGAGATTTGGACTATTAGGGAGGTTCCTACAGAAGACTGAAGCCTGTGCAGTCGCAGTGCTGTTAGACATGGTCTGTAGGTTGCATTTGAGTCACCGGAGGTGTATTTAAGTTTGACATGGCTGAGAAGTGTGTGTGTGTCACAGAGAGGCAAAGATGGAAAGGCAGGGAGAAAAGAAGCAGTTTAGAAAGAGAGATAAGTGGTGTAGTATCTCTGAACAGTATTTGTGTGTTGGCGTGAGTTCTTCTTTGGCCCATTATGTCTCTATAAAGACAGGCTCATGGTGTTGGTTTTACATGCCCTTATACATTGATCAGATTGTCTTTGGTAAGATGATCCTGTACCATTGTATGAAACTCTTTATACAACGTATATTACCAAAATTACATCGTCTCATCATCAGTTTATTTGGCTGTAGCCTATGAAAATGGGGTACTCAATTTGGACTAGCACCACTTTGCTGGCACCATTGACTCCAATGCCTGTCTGCTTTTCTCTGCCTCTGTCCCATTCGTGCTGTGTGTCTCTCTGTCTCTCTCTTTTTCCCTGTTTATCTGGAATACAGTTGTATCTCTGCTAGTTGGCGTCTTGGTTTCTTCTTTGTGTAGCCAAAGAAAAGACAGCTGCTTCTCCCCCCGCCCTGAACACAGCACCTCACCCTACCCATTGCTCAAATGGCCATTCACAACCCTTCCCACTGCTCAGCTGGCCAATCGTCCAGTTGCCAGTCATGGCCCTATCCATCAATCAGCTGGTCATTCAGTCACTAGCCTGTCAGGAGCACTTTATGAAAGTTCTTCAGTTCAGTTTTTCATGGTTTCAAGCTTTTGTATGAATGTTTCAAAATGCTTTCAGGAGAATATTACAACATATCTGCGTCAGTGAATTTGGAAACCCTTACTGTTATTTTTTTATTTTTTTTTTTAGTTGAGACACGCTGTGTCCAACGTGAATATTTAATGGCTTTCCATTGTAAATATTGACTTCAGGTCTTCAGTAGCTTCTGATCCCCATATAGATCCAGCTTTTATGTGTCTGTTTTATGGCACATCAGAGGCTTATGTCTCAGGACACTCTGTCTGAAACTAGACACTACCCTGAGACCCTTGCATGTGTGAGTATGCATGTAGGAGAGACTTTTCCCTGCAGGCTCTAACAGTCAATTTGTTCCTGACGATAGACCTCTTGTGTTTCTTCTCTTCAAGACCCTTATTGATAAGGGACCCCCACCTCCAACCCTACAGTCGGAAAGACCAGGGGCTTTACTTCCAGGCTTTGAAGACGTCCTATCTCCCAGTCAGCACTAATCAATAGACCCCACCCTCACACACACGTGCGCACACACAGCCACATACCGTTGGCTCTTATCCTGGGGTGCCTTTTGTCTCTGTGTTATCTGTGGAGAAGATAATGAGCTCAAACAGACAGTATGGTCCTCATTAAGGCTTTCCCCCCGTGCTGTTAAACTCAGCCATTTGCCCCCTGCGCACTCTGTCTTCGCTTTGCTTGGTGACAAACAAGCGTTTTTTTGACTGCTTGGCTTTTAAGAATGGCTTTGTTTGGCCTGTTGCCTTTCAGGCAGCGTATTTGGGAGGAAATCTTTTGTGATGTTTGAATGGTGCTTCAATTGGCACTTTGATCATGTTGATGGCTCTACAGGACCTGTACTGAAGCAAAATTGCAAGTGTAAACTGATTCTAGAATAGAATGCATCTTATATCAGGAAAGGGAAGGATTGAACTAGATTTTTAGAAGAAAATGAGAAGGTCATTCAGCAAGAGTATTTCAGTTTTTTGTCACTACTGGTTGTGTTAGCAATCCACCATTTTTCTTGATGATTAAACGTTATAGACTTAACTGAGCAATAACAGACCATGCATGCCCTTTTTAAGATTCCAGAATAATTTATTGGATAAAGAGAAACTCTAAAGCCATAATAAAGACTTCTATAAAAAAATTAAATAAATGCACTTTGCAGCAAAAATGCATAGAAGTCTGTTTCTAATCATTGCTGCTTCTTTAAGGAGGTACATTTTAATCTATAATCTTGTAAATCATTTATCCTGAGACACTTTTTTTTTTTGTATTTCTGTATTTTGGTGATGGAACATTGTAAGGTCTCTAGTTTGATCCAGATCTTCTGACTTGTAGTCAGGCAGTGCTACCTAAGCTCTTAAATAAACAACCTACCTAAACTGCTCAGTCTCTGCTCAGCCTGGCTATATACCGCCTGCTCTGGTTCTGTTCCTGCCTTCCGGGGCGCAGGAACTATTGTGGTGCAGATCCTGTTTCGAAGCTGAGCGAATTGGACCCGCATGCCTTGCATTCCACAGACGAAAGGTTACCGCCGCCACTCCACAAAGCGCCTATTGTGGAATGGATGCTGAGAAGGGGGGAAAAAAATTGAAAGCTTATTTTTTTGCTGAGAGGATTCTTACCTTGTTATCCTTAACGGAAATCAGATTGGACCATGTGAACTTCCAACAAGGTTATCTCCTCTTCTTGCATTTCAAAAGTGTGAATTTCCTCCACTCGCTGACCATGTTTCATTATCAGCACAGTTTTAGCAGGTGAAGCACACATGTCGTCTTCATACTGAGCGGCAAATTGAATCTGTGGTCTTAGGATTTGGTCACTGGAGGGCATGCTGACCACAATGGGAGAAGAATATGGTCCTAGTTCAAAATTTTCATTTCGGCTTTATAACACTGTAAAGTAATTAGAGCTCCACATGTCTTAATGTGGTGTCGAAACACACACTCTCCTACGTGGACCTCTAAAATGAAGCAAAGCATTGTAGGGTGTCAGTTGTCACAGGTGCATGGTGCCATAGTTAGCTATATATATATATATGTTTGTAAACAACAAACGAACACACACAGTCACTCAGAACAGCTGGCCATTCCACAAAGAAAGAATGAGTGGAAGGGCGAGAAGGGTTGTATGTCTGAGCAAGATGGAGAAAAATATGCTTTATATAGGTCTGTGCATGTCTTACTGTGTGTGTGTCAGTAAAAGGACATGTCCTGGAGCTCACTGTAACATAAGTTAATGCGATACTGCGGTGCGAACTGTGAGCTGAGGGATTTCCTCTACACAGGCAAGAAGCTTAGAGGTTACATCCTTCACTATATACCCCATATACAGTTTTATGCCTAAGTCAGAGACCACACTTTAATTTAATTTAAATTACAGTCAAAAGGGCCACTAAGTACAAGTTATTAATTTAGCTGCTTCAGGAGAAAAAACATAACAGAAAATTAGCCTTAATACCTATGTACGTTTTATTATTTATTGTGCCCCCCCTCCCCCCTTTTGCCTTTATTACAGCTTCCATTCTTTTTTTGGAGACTTGCTTTCAGTTTTTTTAAGAAATTTGCAGGGATATTTTTCCACACCTCCGTAGTTTAGTCTTATAAGTTGGTCTCAGTTTCTGCTTCTCATAATCCAAGTAATCCCAGACAAATTCAGTTGGTGAGTTCTTTTAGTACTGACAGTATCCACTATATGATCAGAAAAGTGTATTGTGATGTAATTTATATAAAATAGTGTATAAATATTGTCATATTGCCCACTGCTACACTGTATATACATGTTATTACATGAATAGATGTAGAATAACCGCAAACCTGCTTGAACACTGCCTATTCAAATCAAAGCACATGTGGTTGGTACATACATTCAACCGTCGTCTCACAGTCTCTAGGTTTTAAACTCCTTATTCCCAGAGAGCCACCCAAACGGTGATAGTGTTTTTCAAATGAAAGAGGCTTTTCTTAATCTAGCTATTTAGTGACAGTAGAGGACTCTTTATCTCCGGTTGTGGTTTTACAGAGATTATAATGGTTTTCAGTAGGAATGTCAAAAAACTTTGAGACTCCACCTGTGTTTTTGTTTTTTTTTCTTCCCTCTCATTGTGTTATTATCTCTTGGCACTGTGAACAGTAATTTTCTTGTCGTCTAGTGGCTCTCTCTCTCTCTCTCTCTCTCTCTCTCTCTCTCTGTGTTCCCCTTACTCCCCTTTGTATATGAAGTGGACATGTGATAAACATGGATTTTCTCTCTGATTTGTTTATGTCTGATCTCCTCGTGCTAGGAATATCCATGGTTGAGGTGGGCTGGTGGTGACACCCCCTCTGTGTGTGTGTTTGTGTATAGTATTCTGATTCAGAGCAGACCTCCCACGAGTCACGTTAGACACGAAAAACAAAATTCTCCAGATTCTTGGCTGAGAGCTCACTTTACATGTGGGAAGCTGAAAGAGTTTCTCTCTGCTTCTCTCAGGACTCCCAAGGTCCATTTATGGCTGCTTTTTAAAACCTGCACTTTAATAATTTTAATATTGTGCAAACATTAAATATGATTATTATTATTATTATTATTATAGTATTACTTTTCTCAGCCACTCATATTACCCAAGTAAAAATAAGCCTGCAGCTTTGTCAGTGGTAATTTCTTGGCATGTAAATCTGCACCTGCTCTGATTCTAGTGACTGCTAGCACTGTAATGTGGAAATTCTTTTAGGAAGTTCAATAAGTCATCTAAAAGGAACATATTTGTTAGGCATGAGATAGTTTGGTGAGAAGAGGTTTCTGTTTCAGTGGTAAGGCCAACGTACCCCATAATCATATTCCTGTTAATCCAGTGCATTATTAGTATTAGTAAGCACTCTGAGGCCTTTCTGATCAGGCTGTCTTTTGTGTTCCAGGCTCTCCATACTATGATAATGTACGACCACTCTCGTACCCTGATTCGGATGCTGTCATCATCTGCTTTGACATCAGCCGCCCAGAGACCCTTGACAGTGTACTCAAAAAGGTATGTACCATTTTCAGCTTCTGTTGCAGTGGCTTGAATCTCTCACCTCAGCTGTACCAAAAATCAAACAATATTCCCCCTCGCCCCAAATGTAATCAGTCAGCCAAGACATGTTTGGTCTAGGAAATCCTAAACAAACTGATTTAAATGGTTTCTGACACTGTATGACATGCTATAAAATGTAGAAGTACAAATGTTGAAGTACAAAAACAAATCAGGCTTCAGGATGAAAGCTGTTGTTACCTATGCAACTGTTTTAGCTTTTGTCCAATTTTGTACAGTATAGCATCAGAAACCACACAAGCAGGTCTGTTTAAAAGTTTTAAGAGTTTTAACAACTTGATGTGGCTTGAGGCAAGTGTTTGATGATTTAAACATGAAAAATGCTAAACTGGCTACTATAGTCATTATTTTGCTTATTTTACATTATATGACTTGTTGGCTACATTGTCAGCATGTAGGGTTGGGAGAAAATGTGTACATTTGATTTTTTGATAAAATGCTCCTTTAAGTTTAACCTATTCAGCATGCTGTACTCACATGATTTCTTGTAATGCTGAATTAAGTACTTTTTGGTCATTTGTTAGGCTGAACGGCTTGTACCAACAGACAAATCCAACCCTCTCATATTTCTCTGAGTTCTGAGAGGTTAAAAGTGAAAACTCTCACCATTTACTTGTTGACATTTTGCATTCTCCATTTACCTGTACAAGAAAGGTCTTCCTTTGTGTGGGTCAGACTTAAATATCATGTCAGACTGTTTGACAGGGATTAGGTGTCCTCTATTGGATGGGAGCTCTTTGGAACAGTACATACCTGCAAATTCAGGACTGCAGTAAGGTGGAATTACATTATAGGCTGTTACAAGTGTCCTCTTCAGGGAGGTCTCAAGTCAGCTCTGCATTGTTCTCTGTGCTGATTATGTTAAGAGTAGGGATAGCTGGTCCCAGGTCAAAGTGCCAGAGCAGCTTCTACTTCGAGTTCAGGGGACTTTTGGCTCTCTTGAAGCAAGATGCCAGTGCTAAGGATCATGGGAAAGGGAGCAAAGAGGGTGCTCATGTTCCTGAGTGAACAATCGGCTATGTGTATCATGGCGAACCGGATCCTGGCGACCACAGCAGAGGGCCATGTCTCCACACTGCATTATCCAAGATTAAACCCTCCGGTTTAAACACGCACACATACACCACAGCTTAGTCTTTGTTCTGCAGGGGTAAGGAATGTGGATCACCTCTAGCACTGTGAAAAGAGAGAGAGGGAGCAAGGACAGATAGAGAGACAGAAAGAAAGAATGAGCTAACAGATGTAGGGGTGAAAGAGAAGATAGAAGCTGGCAAGAGAAGATTAACAAAAGGAAAAGTAGAGAGAGATAATAAGAGCACCTGTTCTCTGTTCGTTTAGAGAAAATGATGTGATAGCCTTGGTGGGTTACATGGTTTGCTCTGTTTTCTTTTTCCTGTGGCAGTGGAAAGGCGAGATCCAGGAATTCTGCCCTAACACGAAGATGCTGCTTGTTGGCTGCAAGTCAGACCTGAGAACAGACCTCACTACATTAGTGGAGTTGTCCAATCACAGACAGACACCAGTGTCATATGATCAGGTGGGGCAACGCCAATGGACACTAGAACCAAACTTTGCTAAACTATCTTTCATACTTGAACCCAAGAGCAGCTTAGAATACCACTTCATCTTATCCTCTTGATGCTGAAAGCTGACCTTCAGGCAGCTTTCTCTGAATATCTACAATTGCTTTAGGATCAGAAGTTGCCTCAGTGAACCTAAATGTAATTAGATGTATGAAAATAGCTTTATTTAGTATGTATCATCCTTTTCAGAATATATCCCAAATTTAATACTGATGAATTTGATACTTTTCCCCAAAGTGCTACTCTAAGTAGCTTACTTGGAGAATACTCCATCCTTAATTACTTCCAGTTATAACTTGTTTTGCCATCTTAGCATGTTAGAAGCAATTACGATGTCTTAGATTATGAATTAAGATGAAATTCATGATACCAAATGAAAGCTCAGTTGAAGTTGACTGTTAGTCTTCATCAGTTTGGAGTAAATGAGCTGCATGAGAGTTGGAGATCAGACACTGAAAGATCCAAGGGTTCACATAATGAAGTAGGGTTTATCTGGTAATTGCTGTCAGATTTGGATTAATTTCACATCAGGAGTGACAGTCTTTCTGTGTCTCTCTGTTTCAGGGTTCTGCAATGGCTAAGCAGATTTCGGCTCCATACATCGAATGTTCTGCGCTGCAGTCAGAGAACAGCGTTCGGGACATTTTCCATGTGGCGACACTTGCCTGCGTCAACAAGAACAACAAAAACATAAAACGCAACAAATCTGCACGCTCCAATAAGCGCATCTCGCACATGCCCAGTAGGCCAGACTTGGCTGCTGTGGCAACGGACCTACGGAAGGACAAAGCAAAGAGCTGCACAGTCATGTGACTCAATGTGAAGGAAGACATTCTGGGAACTGCAGGGGGAGAATAGAGGGAGGAAGGGAAATTGTGCATATCCCTCCGTCCATACACATTGAGTAAAGAAAAGAAAGAAGAGAGGGGAAAAAAGGGAGGAGAGAGGGACACTGCACACTTTAAGTCCCTTCTTCCTCTCTTGGTTAGTGATTCCATATGCATCATTTCACTTCCTGTAGCCTAAGTGCTGACAGCTAGTGGAAGCAGTCCTAAGGCCAAGCCCTACCCACTCCCCTAAATTTATCCACTCAGCAAGAGGAAGCCCCTCCCTCTCGACCAATGGAAGGCCTTGCTTCCGGCTTCTGAAAGCAACACGACTTCTTCTCAGAACGGTTATGACAGGGTGGCAAGCTGGAACCTGTGGCCTCAGCAGGAAATATGAAGAGGAACCGGTGCCACAAGCATCAAATATAAGACTTAGCATATCTGTCTTTTTTTTTTTTTCATTTGAATGAGAAAAGATGCACACCAGGCTGGTGTATAAATCTTCATAATGGATGAGATAGAGAGAAAGAGTGAGAGACAGAACTGGGAACAGAAAAAGAGCAAGTAGGAATGATAGGAGTAAATTCTTGAACTGGTGTATTGCGGACACACAACTTTTACTTCTCTTTCAGCCGCAAATAACATTATGAAGAAGCGAAACGAAAGCCCAATCACTGTGGTTTTGAATCACTTCCCTTTCTTTAAGGCTATTTGTCCATAGCTGCTTGTCCAGTTGTTTGTTATTTTAAGTTTATAGCTGAGCTCAGCTAAAATTCTGTAGTATATTCCACTGTTGCCATGGATGCACAATCCTTAGATTAGTCTTTACTTATATTCCAACCAAACAGCAAATCATGCTCCCTAAAGTTTTTTTTTTTAACCAAAGAAGAATTTGTGTGGTTAAGTCCTATGACTTGCCACTGCATCAAATTGAGATGGATGTACAGTGGAGCTCGTGTCTCAGTAAAGATCTGTAACGAGACCACATGATGTACCGCATAGACTGGGTGTGGCAAAACAGAGGTTGCTTTGAGCTTTCAGTTAACCCTTAGAAGTCAGTTATTGCCAGTGATATCAAATGTCACCGTGGTTATCATTTCTCACTCATAGCTCTTTGCAACAAATGAGGAAATTCTGTCAAATGTGTCGATTTTAAACTTTCAGTCAATACCACGTGTGCTTATACGTGAAAGAGATTTAATGATTTGCCTTTGCTAAGAAGTTATTGTTGTGTACAGTCTTTACATTCTTGCTGTGTTTAATTTGTTGAATTAGAAGAATTTGGAACTCCAGACTCGAAACTGTCAATATAGAATGTAAATGGTATGTAAATGTAATTCTTTACATAACTGACTGTAATTTATCATTAAATCGCATAGCAAAATGACAATAACTCTACTTCTATGGGTTAACTTGCATCATAGGTCTAACTGCCTTTACTAATTACTGCTGTATTAGTTTGGGTTTAATTATAACTCATAACTAGCAGCTATTAAATGACTATGCTAATAATAATGATGGTGATATTGTAAGAAACTGGCCCAATAGCTCTAACTAGTCCAAGGCGTTTTCCAATCATGTGCTTTGTTTCTGATCTGACTTGCTCCTTATCTGACAGGCTTACTGTCATGTAATGTGAATTGTGAGAAGCTACATTTAAAGCTCAATCCCAGAGTATTTGTTTCATGTTTTGCTTTGTATGCCCAGTCTGTGAAAGGTGGAATAACCTTGGGTCAAGGCAAAGAGCTGCACAGTCAAGTGGACTAATCTGAAGGTTTCTTCTAAACTATGCAGTTTGTATCCTCATAAAATACAGAGAGAGAGAGAGAGGGAGGAGAGAGATAAAGAGATGGAGGCGGGTGAGGTGTTGTCACAACGCGGACGTCAATGGCTGAAGGACACAGTGGTCAGAACCAGGCGAAAGCTACATTTCTCTCTTCAGTGCCACTGAAAGAGAGGGGCTGCACTCAGCTCAAAGCTGATGCTCAGAAATATTAGGCTGACATGCCATTGTGTACGTAGCAGGTCAGTGATTGCACTTTGAGGTCCACCTTTTAGAAAAAAAAATAGCTTCTCTTATGCATTTCTATTCTCTTTCTAACAAAGATTCCTTTAGGCAGTTTCTTCCACTATGAACTGGTATTCACATAGGCAGTATTACCATGTCTCACTTTAGTGTTAGTGCAAGAGTATGTGTAGGTGATGAAAGTTGCTTCGAAAGTAGGCAATCTTGTTTTATTTTATTAAAATCTGTTTGTATGTTGTTCTGTTTGTCGACATAATATTTATTGGATTGTTCCCTTTTGCCCTCCTAATAAATGTAGAAATGAATTCAAAAGAATCTTTTTGATATGAAATGGCTTCTGTGAATCTGTGCTGTGTCTGTGCTGCAGCTGAAGTCAAAGAATCTTGCCGTGGATCACTCTTCTAATGTTCAGGTGTACACAGAGTTGTCAGTTAGGTACACTGACGTAACGACACGCATTGGCCTTCTACTGTAAACAGACAGATGAGAAAATGAAGGACAAACCTGAATAAATAAGTGGAGAAATGTAAGTGCAGATGCTTCCAGACTGGTGTACTGCATGATACAATTAGCAATTAGCACCCTACCATGCTCTATAGCAGTGGTCAACTGCCCCAGTCCTAGAGATCTATCTTCCCGCAGAGTCTGCTTCCAACTGCATTCTGCTATACCCTCAGCTATTTCATGTTTTCAGAAGCTCTGTATTGGCTAGATCAGATCTTCAGGAGAAAGGTTGGTGACCACTGTTCTGTGGCTTGCATAACATTGAGCAGGCGAGATTGACCTTGATTTGGGATCACTATGGCAAGAGGAAATGATCTAAGTGACTCAAAGAGGGTGACATGATTGTCCCCTTAGAGCGAAGAGTCACTGCAAACCAATTCAAAGTTATTCTGACTGATCACCTTCATCCTATTATGAAACATTTCTATCCTGATGGGAGTGGTCTCTTCCAGGATGATAATGCCCCCCAACCACAACTGCACAAGGGGTCACTGAATGGTGTGAGAAGTATGAATATACTGTAAATCGGATCTAAACTCAATCGAAAACCTATAGGAGATTCTGGACTGTCATGTTAGGCAGCACTCTTCACCATACAGTTCCATAGACTTGTAGTATCTATGCCAAGGTGCATTGAAGCTGCTCTGGTGGGCTGACACTGTTGTTTGGTCACCCATCTGTAGCTGCACTTTGTATACATTTACTGTAGCCCATATGTTGCTGCACGATTAATAATTCCCCATCCACGCTGTCCATCAGTGGAAAGTATTTCAGTTTTTGCTCATGTCTAGTGCGTATTTGAAGAGTTTTATGTCATTTTTGGTTATTTTTACTCTGATCTGAAACAAACATTGCAGGCATCACCAGAGAAGACATCCAGCATCTGTTGTTGTCTTCCCCTCAAATTAAAGCTGACATTCTGCACTTTATATTCATAGTCTCTACTTCTATTGTGCAGGAGTGTAGAACCAAAACAATACAACACTGTCGCTGTCCAATTACTTCCAGACTGCACTGTATAAAGTCCACTCTAGCAAGATGCTAGATGCACTGCAGAATTAGCAGTTATTGCTTGACCTTGATAATAATGGCCTCATGGGAAACTGCAGTCAGCTACAGAAGAACTGCACTGGGTAACAAAAAAATATTTACAGCTTGAAACTGCAGGCTCTGATGGTGAATCCTTTTATGTAGAGAAGGGACCCTGAATGTGTTATTTACAAGAGCCAGTTTCTATGAAGTGTAGTGTCAAACAATCCATGATTATCAACCTTGCTTTGAATAAGGGTCATTACCAATTATATTAGTAATCAAAGGACTTTTTCTGACAAACAATCGAGCAATCAGAGTTTTGAAAAAAATAATGCTAAACAATAAAAACATGCTTAACCACAACCATGCATAGTCTTTCAAAGAGTCCAAAATAATTTACTGGAATGACTAAAAAGACTTCATTAAAAAATATTTTAAAAATGCATGTAAATGGGCATATCCCCCAGGCTCTGTTTAGTAGTAAAAGTCAGAAAGCTGCATTATTTTCATGCAAATTGCCAGCTATATATTCATATTTACTTATTTTTAGATTTGTTTTATATATAGTATTGATGTTCTTTTGTTTTTGAGAACTGTTCCAGCAAAACAATTGTTTGTAATTATGTGGTGTTTTTAAAAACCTGCAATGAGTCTGCAAAACAAACAAGCGTTACAGATTTATTGAGATGGTTATTTGCAACTAATATTGTTTTCATAGAGTTTAGTAATCATGAGTGAGGACATTTTGGTGACCACTTTACTTGAACCATGTTGTATAACATTGACATTAACATGCCATAAACATGCCATGGCAGATGTCATATGCCGTCGTAAGATGTCAGGACAGATTATAAGAGTAAAGGGATCCTGCCACAAGAGATACAAAATTGAATAAAATGGGTCCTTGACTAAAACGTGAATATTCTGACAAAATTATTGCTTTCATGAGGTGACCGTTTTATTTTTTACGTTTTTATCATTAGATTAATGCCCCTCAATAAACTGTTACTCCTTTTTCTTAGCAAAGAGTTTCGATTTTAGGCCGTTTGAAAATATGTTACAGGCAACATTCACACTAGCCTACATGTTTTTGTGCAACAACCAATACTTGTTTTTCAAACTGAATTGTAATCTAGTTTCACTTCTTACGACACCTGCCAAACCTGCCTGCTGGTGACTTAATCATTAGCTTTAATACCTAAAAATCTATATTTTAGTTATTTAACTGTGGGCTATTAGACCTGCTTGGTGAGTCTTCTTGCAAGCTTCTAAAGGCCACGACATACTGGACCGCCATGCAGCGCCACATAGCAGACACAGTGTAAAACATAGCTATACCACATACAACATGTTGCAGTGAAAGCACTGAGAAACATTAAGTTCAAGTTCTTTTTTCACACTCTTTGTAGGCTTTTAATGAAATATAATAAAGGAAATATTTGGTACACAACTAACTCTGATTTTGAACTGAAAGATACAAAGAGTAAAAGACTTGGCTTTGACTTTGGCTGAAATAACAGATCATTAGTATTTGTCTGTTCACCTACTTTGAAGACTACTGAGAAGACGACTTGTCTTTAAATTTCATAGATGTCAAAGTCATGTGACAATCTGTGGCTTTTGAGGTCTCATTTGGGTTTAATTTAGCTCAGCAATGTTAATATAATGAGTGTCATGCTGCAACAGTGGCACGAGTTACTGAGCGCTGCTGCATGTTAACACTGAATGTGTGCAGCGTGTGCACCTTCATGTAAAAATGGCTTCAAATGTTTTTGGATGCTGTGCGACATGGTGCATCAGGTATGTGGCACAATTTAAGTGTAAAAACCATTTATATTGAAACACATATTAAGTTTAAAGACTTCTGTCAAGTAATACTTGTGAACTTAAGGGGCAAATTCCCCAAAAACATATTGTTTAAAAGCTATGCATCGATTCATAGGTCATCTCAAGGTCAGAGGACCCCGATAGACCTCTTCCACAATTCAAACCCTGCATGGTTATGTTAATGTTATATAGCAGGGTAAAGTCTTACCAACGTTTTTGAACATTGTGATTATTCTACTCATTTACCAGATACAGCTGACTAGACTAGACTTTACTGGGCCTTTGACTGTGGGGCTTTGTTTGTTAGCTTTATTCCCTAACTACCCTGCTCTGGGAAGCCAATAATAGATACCAAGAACAACAAAGTTTTGATGTTTGTATCAATGCGACTTCTTCTTTTTGCTTGTTCCCTTTTTTACTCTCCTACTGCCTGTGTGCAGAGCCACTAGCCCTTGCGGAGTGCTGTTCTTTAACCACATGCTGACACAAGCACATCCCTCTGGGCTGAAGAAAACACTCTAAATAACCCGAAACCAGCTTACAACCTGAGGCCTCCCTTAGTGATCACATTTGGAGCAGCTGGATGCATTGTCCCTTTCTCGAGGAGCTACCTTTGGTTTGATTGTATTTTGCTGTAGAGGAAGAGGGTATTTCGGCGCTGGTTTCGGTGGAGATCCGTTTTTAAGCCCTGCTTTTTTCCACAGATGCTTTTCGTGTTCCTCGAACCTGATCTTTCATACATTCAGAGGCAGTGGTCATTCCTTGCACACCAGCTGTAAATACCATATTTACCATACCAAGAAGATGAGGGAAGACCCTCCCCTACAAATATCACTGTAAAATTAAACCAAATTTGTTGTTTTAGTAGTACACAAATGAAAATTTTGTAAAAGAGCATCTTGCCAAACTATCAGGGAAAATGGTGGGACAATAGGCTGGCTTTACACTGTGAAACTGACTTCTGAGTTGCCTGCAGCATAATTTCCTTTGCAACTTGACAGTTACACAAAACAATTCAAAAGCAATAATTGTTGCATGCAACATATTCAGTGACTCCACTAGATAGCTAAATTAGCAGCTCTTATTTTTTGATACACCCTGCTTTACACTGTGAAACTTGCATGCAACTAGTTGCATGTTGTGAGTTGCCTGCAACATTTCTTTGCAACTTGACAGTTACACAATTCAAAAGCATCATTGTTACATGCAACACATTAAGTGATTCCACTAGCTAAATTAGCAGCTTGTATTCTTTGATACACCATATCGAGGCCATCATGTCTCATCAAGGTCATCATGTCTTACTCTCTTCTGTAATCATTTTCATCATTTTGGTCCCATATGAATCTGAGCTCTGTGTAAAACTAGGGGTCATCAAGAGAGGAGAAACTGAATCTAGCGACATAAATCTCAATAAGAGCAGGCTAGCAAAAAGAATAAACATTGGTAAAAGCAGTTAGCGTTGGCTGGCAAGTTAACGCAGCTGCTTACAGAAATGTTAGCTTTGAGAAACTCACATTTGTTATCACGGCTCAGAAAACGTACAAAATGAAAACTACCAACTTGGAGTCCGTTAGAGAGGGCTCCTCGTTTAATGTGGTTTACTGTGTCTTTAAGACTGATATATGTAAATGAGCTCTGCTTTTGCTGCCCTGTATTGTGCCTGAAACACTCCTTACAACTTCAGCATGAATGGGCGGAGATAAACTGCTGTAGGCTGTATGGATGAATGTATGTCAGTGTGTTGGTTTGTGTGACAAAGATTTCAAAAGAGGCTGTTTTCGCACTACACTCTCAAAAATATGGTTCTTCAAGGGTTTGTAAAGGCAATGGTTCTATTTATACAGAACCATGTCATGCTTGAATGGTTCTTTGCATGGTAAAATGGTTATTCAGCTTGATGGAGAAAGTGTTGTATATGGTTCTATATAGAACCTTTTTAAAACTGGTTC